GAAGGACATCGAGAAGGACAACGCGGGCCAGGTGACCCTGGTGCCCGAGGAGCCCGAGGACATGTGGCACACGTACAACCTGGTGCAGGTGGGCGACAGCGTGCGTGGAGGCCATCGACTTCGACTCGCAGGCCTGCCAGCTGCGGGTGCGGGGCACCAACCTCCAGGAGAACGAGTACGTGAAGATGGGCGCCTACCACACCATCGAGCTGGAGCCCAACCGCCAGTTCACGCTGGCCAAGAAGCAGTGGGACAGCGTGGTGCTGGCGCGCATCGAGCAGGCCTGCGACCCCGCCTGGAGCGCCGACGTGGCGGCCGTGGTCATGCAGGAGGGCCTGGCGCACGTCTGCCTGGTCACGCCCAGCATGACCCTGACCCGCGCCAAGGTGGAGGTGAGCATCCCCCGCAAGCGCCGCGGCAACTGCAGCCAGCACGACCGCGCGCTGGAGCGCTTCTACGAGCAGGTGGTGCAGGCCGTGCAGCGCCACATCCACTTCGACGTGGTCAAGTGCGTCCTGGTGGCCAGCCCGGGCTTCGTGCGGGAGCAGTTCTGCGACTACATGTTCCAGCAGGCGGTGAAGACGGACAACAAGGTGCTGCTGGAGAACCGGTCCAAGTTCCTGCAGGTGAGCCCTCGGTCCGGGGGGCCGAGCATGCACAGCCTGGGGGGTGGGGGGTGGGGGAAGGAGAAACTATCCCTGCTCCGGCTGGTGTTGCTCAGTGGGTAGAGCGTCGGTCTCTGGACTGAAGGGTCCCGGGTTCGATTCCCGTCAAGGGCAAGTACCTGGAGAGGCAACCAATCGATGTCTCTCTCACATCATCGGTGTTTCTGTCTCTCCCTCCCACTCTCAAAAAAAAATGGAAAAAATACCTTCTGGTAAGGATTAAAATAAATAATAGTAACAAAGAAACGATTCCTGAAGCTTTAGACCTGGGAACAGTGTCAGGGAAGAAAGTCTTTTTTTTTTTTTAATATATTTTTATTGACTTCAGAGAGGAAGGGAGAAGGGGAGAGGGATGGAAACATCAATGATGAGAGAATCATTGATTGGCTGCCTCCTGCACACCCCCTACTGGGGATTGAGCTCACAACCCAGGCATGTGCCCTTGACGGGAATCGAACCCGGGACCTTTCAGTCCACAGGCCGACGCTCTATCCACTGAGCACCACTGGCTAGGGCCGGGAAGAAAGCCTTCATTTGACGGGGATTGTAAGTGCGATGTGTAAAGAGCCGGGAACTAGCTGGCCAGTGTGTGCAGTAAACCGGCCCGCGTCCTGAGCATGTGAAGCCTGCACTGCTTCTGGAGCCGGGTGGTGGCGGGCTGGGTAACGGAGCGCGAGGAGATCCTGTGTCTGACCTGTCCCTGCACCCCAGGTCCACGCCTCCTCCGGACACAAGTACTCCCTGAAGGAGGTGCTGTGTGACCCCACGGTGGCCAGCCGCCTGTCGGACACGAAAGCTGCCGGGGAGGTGAAGGCCCTGGACGACTTCTACAAGATGCTGCAGCACGAGCCCGACCGCGCCTGCTACGGACTCAAGCACGTGGAGAAAGCCAACGAGGCCACGGCCATCGACACGCTGCTCATCAGCGACGAGCTCTTCCGGCACCAGGAGGTGGCCGCCCGGAGCCGGTACGTGCGGCTGGTGGACAGCGTGAAGGAGAACGCGGGCACCGTGCGCATCTTCTCCAGCCTGCACGTGTCCGGGGAGCAGCTCAGCCAACTGACGGGGGTCGCCGCCATCCTCCGCTTCCCCGTGCCCGAGCTCTCCGACCAGGAGGATTCCAGCTCGGAAGAAGATTGACGAGGGGACTGGCCCTCGGACAGCCGGTGCCCCCGCCCACGGCCGCCTCTTCTCAGCAGCCTCGTGCCGGAAGCTGCCGGAGCAGCAGGTGTGATGCTCGCAGGGGTCACACCAGGGGTTTTGTGGCTGGCGGGACATGTATTTAAAACTGAACAATAAATTAAAAGGGAATGATCTCCATGCACTACCACTTTTATTAATGAGGGTCATTGTACTTCGGAATCATGAGTTGTGGGCTGTACGCAGAAACACTGTGTGTATTTAATAAGAGTCCCTGTGTATTCTTCGGGAGAGATCAAGTCCCGTAGTTCATGCTTTGAAACAGTTTTCCTTAGGAAAAGCTCTTCTCATTTCATTTTCCTCATTTACGTTGTTTGTTTGGTTTCTGCCTGGTGGTCTTGCTCTGTGTGCTTAGTGATCCGTTTCTCCCCATTTTCCCTGCAGACCTTTTTTTAAAAAAGTCACGTGCTATTTTCAGTGATAGCCAAATAGTAGACTTTTTTGAAGGCAAATTTAACGTGTTTTTTCCCTTAAGAGACTTGTTAAACCAATCATGTTGAAACAACTCTGGGATTTTCTTTAATTAGAATTAATCATAGTTGCTTTGAGGACCGCTTAGCTAGTTCTTTTTGGATCATAGAGCTTTGGTCTGCTAGGGACTCAAGGTCATCTCTTTGAGGTGCCCTTTTTCAGATGAGACTGTGGGTCGGATTTGCTGTTAGGTGGCTAATCGGTGGCAAAGTAGGAAGGTAACCCCCAGTCCGGACCCATTTGTTTGCACTGCCGCACTGTGTATGTATTTGTTGGCCGGTCGTAGTTACACTTAATGCTATTTCTGTGTGTTTTCACGTTATTACTGGACTTTCTCTACATCCTATTACTTTTTTTTGATGTCCATTTCTAATCATTAAGGAGGGGGCCTTGTTGAAATTGCAGCTTGACCCTTTACAATCCTCAGCTTATCAATAATTAGGAACAGCCTTATGAAGAAAGAGTGACAATTCACTTGTAACCCAGGATCAATGTTCCTGCCTCAAGTAGGGATGGGTACTAACTAAACTTTTTGATTCTCCTTTCTGGTCTGGGTCTTTCTACTGGTGTGAGTACCAGGTTTGGGAATTATTTTTTATAAACTTCCCAGCTCATCTGAGCTTTTTATTTGTAAAAAGGAACAGATACCTCCATAGGCATTAAATTCACTTTTTTACACATCTACATCCTCATCTAAAAATAAGTCAGATTGTCGTTTCATTAAAACTCCATGAATATTTAACTTTATATTAGAAGTATGTTATTAAATCATGTAGTAGAGGTATGTAAATGAAGCCACCAAGATTATGAACTTTAGAACCTGATTGACAATGAATCGTACTCCCAGGATGTGGAGGTTTGGGGCACCTGTTACTCTCATAATCTGTGCAGTACTGGTCATTCTGGGCTGTTCTCCCCAGTAATAGAAACCAGGGGAAAGAAGGCCTGATAATCCAACCGATCCGTCTGAGGCCACAGCTTCTCGAATGTGGCTGCTTGGGAGTTTTGGAGACTCAGTACCCAGACCAGACCTTTCACCAGGGGAAATTCTGTTTGTTTTTTTTAAAGCTTTCCAGGCAATTCCAATAGACCTCAAGGCTGAGAGCCACTGACTCAGGCCTTGCCATTCACGTGTGTCCATGGGCCAGTGGCATCTCCTGAGAAAGTTCCAGAAATGAGAATCCAGGTCTCTGCCCGACACCTACCTCTACTGAGTTGCAATCCACTTTAAGGATATCTCCAGTTGGTTGCCGTGCGTAACTATAAAACTTCTTTAACAGAAAGCATGTTTTTATGTCTATAAAGTTCTTAAAATATCCATAAGAATTCCTATTTTTTTAAAGTTACACTTTATACCATTATCAAGAATATGAATTTTCCTAGATGCATAGGTAGAAATGTCAAAATAGTGATAGGAGCATATAAAATAAAAAGTCTAATCATTTTTAAATCATATTCTCTGAAGAGCAGAATGAACCATAATTCTTTGGAAACTGCTCAGTAGTCTAATTCCAGCTGCTGTTCATGAGTGAGGGAAGACCACGTGGTAACGATGGAAGCACTACAGTGACGCCTCCAACATAGTGTGTGTTCTGTCGATTCCCACTCGCCGTCCGGTACTTGTAAACAAGGATTGGGTGCCCCCTCTAGGCACAGCGAATGAGACGCTTGCAAATTTGTTTCGTCCTCCTCTGGGTCTGATACATATCGAGTGGCATTTTGCTGTTCCTGGTCGGCTATTTATATGTTACACGTTTTTCTAATTTCATGTCCGGGTTCTAGACTGGGTTTCCCTTGCGTTACTCCTTTAGGGACCCGGCGGGCCTCCCTCCTCCGGTGTCGTTTGCTTTCCTAAGCCTTTGGCCCAGTTCTGTCAACCTCAGGTTCTCTTTACCAGAAGTGAGTCGTCATTTCTGCAATTCAGGCATTCTGGAACTGAAATTCTCTTTGTTGCTGACAATAAAAGTCCACAGATGAAATGGTGTGTGCAGTCATGGGCATGAAGAGTGGGTCTGACCATCGGGAAACCAGGGGGACATGGGTGCAGGAGAAGGCACGGTAACTGCATGTCACAGTCTCACTGCCTGGCAGCATCGGGGTGGGCTGGGGGCAGTAAGTCTGGGTCCAAGAGGGCCTGCTAGAGAAATCCAGGGGGATGTGGTGATGCCCTAAACAAAGGCAGCGACTACCGTCCTCAGGGTAGGAACGAATAGGGCATTGCGGGGTAGGATCAGGGGGGCCTGGGCTGCAGATAGTCGTCAGTTACTGAAAAAGTTGAGTCTATTTATTTATTTTTATTTATTTGAATGCTGGGATAGACGATGGCACAGTTCAGAGACAGGAAACAGGAGGAGAGGCTGGCTTGCCAGGAAAACTGCGTTCATCTAGCATCTTTGGTTGGAGGTACCTTCCAGCAGACTTCCGTGTCCTCACTGCCTAATCCCTCCAGGCTGGTGCTCACCTGTCTTCTCCATGCGGTCTCCCAAACCAGCTTTAAAAATGTCCCTTCTCCAAGTTCCCTTCTCCAAGGTGCCTTTCCCACCGCCTCATTTTAATCTGTAATCTTAGTTGTTCTGCTTTGTGTCTCTCTGTAGCATAAGCTCTGTGAGGGTGGAGACTGTGGCCTGTTAGGTTGGTTGCTACATCTCCAACACTAAGAATTAATTCCTGGCACAGAACAGATGCTCAAAAAATGTTTGACAGGATGAATCAATCTACTGTATATAAGAAGATCCCTTAGGCACTTGAGCTTGCAGATCTGAAGTTCAGAAACAACGTTGGGGATAATGATACAAGAGATGTCAGTCCCGGAGGGAAAACATGATCTAATAAGAATTAGTAGAACTAGAAAAGAAGGACCAAGCACAGAGCAGAGGGCACGAGTACGTGATCCCTGTAAATACAACGTGACTCCATTATCTTATTATAACCATTCAATGCAGAAGTGTTTCTATAGCTCAACAATTAACACAGCTGGGTACTTAATTATTCTACAGATCTCTACAGTGTGCCAGAGGTATACACGTAAAATAGCGAAAGTAGCCATTGCATAGAAGTTGAGGTTTTAAAAGTGGTTAGGATAAACAAAATTCTAACTTTTGGAGCAAAAGCCAAATTACTTTTGTATGTGGTTTTTAATGTGGGTCTTAATATACGTGTACATTTACCAATTTAGTGTGTGAAGAGTTTCAGTTTAAAAAAAAAATAGGCATATTAGGGGTGATGGCTGAATTTATTAGGGAACGTCCTCAGGGTTCCCATAGCTCAGGAATCTCACTCAGGCCTCAGGGTTCCTGGCTCTGGACTCTCAGCCTCCTGCTCCCTGCTCCCTGCTCCCTGCTCCCTGCTCCCAGGCCTCCCACATGGCCCTCACCACTTCCTCTTTCACTCCCTGCAGGACCACAAGTATCAGAATCCTGGCATAAGCTCTGCAAAGCTTTATTTATATTCGTGTGAAAAATGGATTTTGATCAGCTCATAGCTTTGTTGATGCACATTTTTCAGTAAATGAGTTCCCAAGTAGGGAAGGGCAGCTAAAATAAAAGGCATCGCGACTGCAGATCGAGTGTTTCAAACCCTGGATAAAGTGCTTTTCCCCACGTTGACGCGAGTCTCCTTCAGCTCTGCGCTGGGATTCAGCTCGTGTGTCCCAGGAGACTTCGTGTTTGGGGAAGTGCTGTTGTGGATGTTAGTGCGCGGTGTGGACTGCTGACGGATGGACCATTTAGAAGTCTGAGCGTGTTACTGAACAGCCCACGTGACGTCTGCAGGAGTTGAGACCAAGTCCACTGTTTTGTGTATGAAGCATGCCTCACTTAGGGAAGACTCAGAAGTCAGCAATGCGGCTAATGAAGAGTTTGGCAGATAAGATCTATACAGTGGTCCTGGAATTTATCAAGGAAAACAGTCTGAGGAGTTACCTAACATAGTCAGCAAGTAGCTGGCAAGCTCAGCTAGACCTTAAAAAGGCATTGTCCAAGTTCAGTACGGAGATCTTTAGATTAGAGAGACCATGGAAACACATTGGCCGAAGGTATTTGTTAAGCTGACGCGGCGGTGATAACATTGCATTCAGCATTTTTCTTTACCTAGCGAGCCCTTTCCCTCGTCAGGGCATGTTTGGTAGTCTCTCCTCATCCTCATCCATATTCTAGAGTGTTCTGCATAGACTTCCAAGTATAATGACTTGTAAGACAGCCCATTGAGCAGCATTTATTTATTTTTAATATGTTTTTATTTACTTCAGAGAGGAAAGGAGAGAGAGAGAGAAACATCAATGATGAGAGAGGACCACTGATTGGCTGCCTCCTGCACGCCCCCCACTGGGGAGGGAGCCAGCAACCCGGGCATGTGCCCTGACTGGAAATCAAACCATGACCTCCTGGGCTATTGTGCAGTATTTAATGTCTCCACATTAAGAAACATGTTAGTAGCTTCTGTTGAGATCACACCGAAAAAGAAACGGGGGGATTGTGAATTTGTACATTTAAAAAGAGGAGAAACTAATGTGTTTCTTCAAGTGGAACCCACCTTTGTGTGGGATACTTCTGCATACAGATTTGAGGCTCTCATTTTGGTTTTGACAGCGAAAGTTTTAATTCTGTAATAATTGGCGTTGACGTGGGAAGGTCTTATACTTCCAGCTGCCACTTCCTGAGGATCGTGAGGTTTCTGAGGGACTGAGGCCCTGGATCACCGTCTCCTTTAAGTCCCTTCTCCTTCCTCCCCTAACACGGCCCGCCTTGGAGCCCAGGCCTTGGGGTGCTGGGGTAAGGGAAATACCCGGTGCCTGTAACGCAGGGACGGAGGGACTTAGGCCTTCTTTCCGTGGAGGCCGCCACGGTGGGTTCCAGGGGGCCCAGCCCTGAGGCCACGTGGCATCTGCCAGGAAGCAAGTACCAGAGAGAAAGGTCGGTGCAGCCACACAGCCTGGCCATGCACGGGGTGGGCACCAGGGTGGGCACCGGGGCGCCAACTCCAGGAACAGACACATGTGTTACAGGAACAGTAGCTGCATGTCTGTTAAGGCCGGGCCTAGGTGAGTGCTTTGAAAAGGAATTATTTCATTCTTTGAGGAGCCCTGTCGTTACTGTTTTCAGATAGGAAAGCTGAAATTAAAAGAGGGTAAATAATTCCCCCAGGATCCTTAGGAGGTGGGTGTGGTGATGTGCCCCATCAGGCCACTCCCTGAAAAATAGAAGGATGCCAGTCCCTCCGTTTCCAGTTGAGTAGCCCCAACGTGCCTAGAAATAGAAATATGACTTGATAGCGCCGTTTCCTGTAATGGGCCGGCGTTCGTGGAGTCCTTCCGTGCGGTGTTACTCACCTGCCTCCGTCTGTTTCCACCTCCCGGGAAAGCTCAGGACTCCTCCGATGGCTCGGCCCTGTCTGGGAGGGAGGTGAGGGATAGACTCCTGTATTCACCAGCCTCCTGCCCTCCCAGCGTCTGTGTCACCACGTCACACCTGGCTGTAGAGGGCTTGTCTGCCACGGTAACTCAGGCACGATTTCCACAAACGTGTTTGCTGAGCCCGGTAAGGGGCAGGGACTGTGCTACCCTTGTGTGTGGGGTGACGCGTTAAGAACATTTTCCATCACAGAGAGGCGGCCACAGCTGACAGGGTGACCAGGATCCTGAACGCCGTCGGAGGAGAAGTCAGGGCCTGGAGCACTTCCCTGCGGCCAAGAACTGTGCTATAGTAACCAAGGATTAGTGTCTTCTGTTAAGTCAGGGAAGTATGATGTCTTTCAGGTTGATTTCCTCCAAAATTATTAAAAAACAGGTCTGCTAAGCCCGGCCGGCATGGCTCAGGCGTTGAGCATCGACCTAAGAACCAGGAGGTCACAGTTTGATTCCCCGTCAGGGCACAGGCCCGGGTTGCTGGCTCGATCCCCAGTGAGGGGCGTGCAGGAGGCAGCCAATCCATGATTCTCTCTCCTCTTTGATGTTTCTCTCTCTCCCTCTCCCTTCCTCTCTGAAATCAATAAAAAATATACTTCAAAACAAAACAAAAACAGAAAGCAGTGCTACTTCGGTAAGTCTTTAGCTGTCATGCCTAGAAGGACCGGCCCAGACAGCCGGGTTTCCTGTGCCATCGTGCCCCCAATGAGAGAACTCCAATCACCGCTGAAATAGGAATCCTTGTTAAGGAAAAAAATGCGGTTGTAAATTTTTTTTCAGAGGTGGGAGGTCCTCTGAGTTCAAGTCTGAGTTCCAGAAGCTTCGTGTCTGGAATTTTTCGTCAAGTCCTCATGTAAACATCCACTAGAACTTTTTGTCTGACGTCGTCGTGATAAATTGCCCTGCGGATATAAAACATCTTAATCTTGGGTTTCGGCTCATTGATCTTGTGACCATAACTGGTACTTTTTCTTCCTCTCCAAGTGCACCGCTGGCCCTGGAGAAATCCCTGTTGTGTGGACGAGGGGAGAGGACGTTTGAAAACTCATTGCCCCACATGGCTCGGGGTCATCGAGAATCAGAATGGGGCGAAGCTGGGGGGTCACACGCGTGGGGGTGTTTCAGACCCGCATTCCTACTTGACCCACCCCTTCGGGTTTCTTACCCGTTTTCTTACCCAGATGCACACGCGGAGGGGCTGGGAGAGGGCATCAGGAACAGGACGGGAATCTGAAAGGCCCTCACCCTCTTGGACCCGCCACTGCTTCTTCCTCTGGCGCAGACAGGGTCTCCGCAGGTCCTGACACCCGAGCCCAGATTACAGGCCGCCTGTTCCTCGGAGGAGAATTCTCTGCCCCGAAAGCCTCCGCCTCGGCCTTCATTCTCCCCACAGCCACCCACTAAGGACAGCCACCCACTAAAGACAGCCACTCACTGAGGACAGCCACCCACTGAGGAAGGACAGCCACTAAGGACAGCCACTCACTGAGGACAGCCACCCACTGAGGAAGGACAGCCACTAAGGACAGCCACTCACTAAGGACAGCCACTCACTAAGGACAGCCACTCACTAAGGAC